GAAGATGGCTGGGTGCTACCATCTGCTTGGGATCCTATAATAAATAAAATTAAATCCCAACCCAAGCATACAACTGCAAGACTCCATGATACCTTAAGTTCATACTGTGTAGATCGGAACAAAAGTTAAATTTTAATCTATGGTAACCGCGGTTAACTATGACAGCTGGACGTTGAACATCTCAGTCCTTCCCGTGACCATGGGTGCTGTAAAGCTCTCGAAACGTCGGGTAAAAAAGTTAAATATACGCGATAAATTCCGTAAAAATTAGTATTATTTCAATGTGTAGTGTTCGCGTAAATATAAGAAATCATTACCTTCAAAACTGTCCAATTCCAATTCCAAAAGACAAGATGCAGGTTAGAACATTTTTGGGTTTGTGCTCCTATTATCGGCGATTTGTGAAGAACTTTGCAGATATAGCCAAACTTCTGCACAAGCTAATCGAGGAGATGCGACATTTCTGCTGGGATGAAAGTTGCAATATCGCATTCCAAGAGCTCAAGGACCGTCTGTGCAAAACACCTATCTTGGGATACCCTGATGCAAGCAAAGAATTTATAGTTGACACGGACGCAAGTGATATAGGACTTAGCGGTGTGTTTTCTCAACGGAATGGTGACCAACAGGTCGTGATAACGTACTTCAGCAAGACGTTGTTAAAACCGGAAAGGAACTATTGTGTCACAAGACGCGAATTGCTAGCTGTGGTAAAGTCGTTGCAGCATTTTAGCAAATATCTTCTGAGACGGAAATTTCGCTTACGAACTGACCATGCTGCACTAAAATGGCTATTACAGTTTAAAAATCCAGAAGGACAAGTTGCGAGGTGGATTGAACTATTGCAGGAATACGACTTTGAGATCGAACATCGCAGCGGGAAATCTCATGGCAACGCAGATGCATTGTCAAGAAGACCTTGTCCTGAAGATTGCAAACATTGTACTAGGCAAGAGAGTAAGGAAGTGGTATCCGTGAGGATGCTCAGGACAGACCACCTCAGCAACGAGTGGAAGGACAGCTTACGACATGCACAGCAGGAAGATCTGGACATCAAGCCGATTCCGCAATGGATGAAGGCCAGTGCTCCCAAGCCCAAGTGGAGCGACGTCTCAGCGATGAGTTCGACCACTAAAAGCTATTGGGCCCAGTGGGAAAGCTTGCTGCTTCAGGATGGAGTTCTGTGCCGTAAATGGGAAAATGTTCGGGGAGACAGCTGTCATTTGCAAATTATCGTCCCTAAAGCTAGAGTACCGGATGTTCTACAGCTGTACCATAATGATTGTTCAGGAGGCCATCTGGGAGTTAAACGGACTCTACTGAAGATCCGAGAATGGTTTTACTGGGTCCACTGTCGAAACGATGTCGAGGACTGGTGTCGCAAATGTACAAGTTGTGCGGCTGTAAAGGGACCTCACACTCGTAGTAGAGGTGCATTGAAGTTGTACAATGTTGGTGCACCATGGGAGAGAATAGCCATTGACGTGGCGGGGCCATTTCCGGAGAGTGAAAGCGGTAACAAGTATTTCATGGTTGTGATGGATTACTTCAATAAGTGGCCAGAAGTCTTCGCCATTCCAAAACAAGAAGCTTCAACAGGCGGATAAGCTAGTTCATGAAGTCTTCTGTTGTTTTGGAGTACCTTTAGAGATTCACAGCGATCAAGGAAGGAATTTTGAGTCTCAAATATTCCAGGAAACTTGCCGAGTTATGGGTACTCATAAAACAAGAACGACTTCTTATCACCCGCAATCTGATGGAATGGTAGAACGATTTAATCAGACATTGGAGAGGTACCTAGCAAAAGTTGTAGACAATCGGCAACGAGATTGGAACAAGCACATACAACCGTTTTTGTTGTCATATAGAAGCGCTGTTCACGAAAGTACAGCAGTGACACCAGCTTTCGCAAACTTTGGAAGAGAATTACGGCTGCCTGCAGACCTGATCACCGGGATACCACCTGATGCTCCACGTAGTATAACCGATTATGCAAATGACTGACATTTATGAGCACGTCAGACAATCGGGCCAGCAAATGTCTGAGAAGATGAAAACCCGGTACGACCGCAAAATGAACAATAAAGGCTTCGACGAAAGTTCACTAGTGTGGTTGCACAATCCAGTCCGCAGCAAAGGGAAATCTCCTAAGCTTCAAGCTAAATGGGACGGCCCGTACCGGATTGTAACCAGGATCAACGATGTAACCTACCGGATACAGAAAGGTGCAAGAGGGACTCTCTAAGATCGTCCATGTGGATCGCTTGGCGCGTTATTATGGGGCCGATAATGCTCGGGACGAGCATGTCTTAGGAGTAGTATAACCACCTTAGTATAACCATTTTGTTAATGCCAGATGCTGAAAACGAGGCATTGTATCTTAGTTCTCAGGTGTGACAACGCATCTAATTTTGATTCTTAATCGAGGATAAATCTATGGACCACAGTACCCACTTACTATTGGGTGGACTGTGTGCTCATTTAAAACCCATATTCTATAAAAGAAATATATGTGGCATGATGTTCAGCCGCTCCAAAATTCGTACTTTGACAGAGTAAAATAAATGTAGTGTAGTAGTAGTAATGAATGTTTTTAAGTAGGGGTCATGCCTACCCTTAATTCAGGGCGCTGATTCAGTGTAGTGTAATACCTTTTTAAGTTTATTTGCCACCTTTGTTGTATATAAAAAAAAAATGGAATGGGCCAAAGACAACGGGAGAGGCCTGCTGAACATAGCAGTGAGCTCTTCTGGACTGATGAAGAAAAAGGAGAAGAAAATAGTTTATCTTTGACATATTCCCCTGTTTCCTCCTCAAAATTTGTATTGTTGCGCGAATAAGTCGACGTCATCTATCCGGCACTAGCGCCATCTAGTGTCAGGGACGAGAGCGAGGGGAGCTTTCCAGAAAATGACATCACTAATCTTTCAACCGACAGCACCATCTAGTCTCGGAACGAAGAACTAAGCTTCTAGAAGACGACACTCGAACTCTCGGCCCCTTGCGCGTGTTTACTTGAATATCTGGTGTTTCGTCTAATTTGTTAGCGCTGCAAGATGCGATCGGGGAAGTATTGAATTCGGCGAGACAAGCGAAGCTTCGGAGCGAAATAAAGTGAATCAGTGTGGTTAATTATTAGTGTTTTAAGTTTTAATTAGTGTAAAGAAAATTAAAGTGTTAATTTAGGTAATTCTATCGGCAATTTTTATTGTCACGAACCTCAAGCTCGTAACAGTATCAATAAGAATTGTGACTGTATTTTGTATGTTTTTTAACTTATGTCCAATTAATTTGTTTGCTTGGTCTCTAATCACCACCAAGCATATTGATTTCTTATATTTACCCGTATACTACACATTGTTTAATTGTTTTACACAATTTACCACAGTAAAATCCATAAAATTTGTTTAATTTAAGGTTCCTAGTTATTGAAATAATTGATTTGACAAAAACAAAACATGGCATTAGTAGAGGGTTTGTATTGTAAAAAAATATTTGCTCCAGTGTAATTATACAGAGAAAACGGGAATATCTATGTATAGAATGAATGCAGCCCAGACATCCTCATAATACAATATGTTACATACTTTGTAACCAAAACAATTAGGCGCATGACAGCTAAGACATCATTAGAACTAGGGAGGAAACACTGTGCGGGCGCCGAAACCGCATTCCTATCATGCGCCTAATTGTTTTGGCCAAGTTGTACAAATACTTATCTTAAAAATAATTGTCAGATTTTGCTACATAAAACATACTAATGAAATAAAATTGTATTTTGCAAATATTGCAAGTAAGATAAAGCAATCACGAGTTTTTAAAGTGCCATGAAAAGTGCGGTTTCATGAAAATTATATTAAATTTAGCTGTTTTTATATTTATGTGTTCACCTATTTTGTGATCGTTGAGTATAAAGACAAAAATATTGAGGAATTGAAAACGTTATAAAATTGTATCACTAAAATTAAAGACTACTCTCTCGCTCTCTCTCATTTATGTCATTATTCTTCAAACTTTTGTATGACAAATCTTTAAATGCCAAAAAAAAACGGTGAGCTTTTTATCATGAATTTTAAAAATTGTATATAAAGGTGAAAAACGCATACAAAGCCACATGATTTGCTATTTTTTAACAGATTGCAACCAATGCCCTAGATTTGATAATGATGCTATGTCACATTGATTGATGCTATGTCATAACTACGGATGAAACAATATGAGTAAACACAAGTACTTACTCAATTCATTCTTTTCGATACCAAGTACTTTTTGCATCGATACTTTAAAACTAAGTATCAAGTAGGTATTCCAAAGTATTTGTATTGGTATACCAATGTCACGCTTTTATTTTAACTCATTGGTGGATAGATAATACGCTCATCTATGCTGGTAAAAAATATTTTTATGTATCATATATTGAAATTTTGGAACGAATCCTGGTCCTGATTTTGTTAGTTTTGTGTAGTTGGAGAGCTTGTTAGTCTATGCTCGAGAGAAAAAAAACTGCCAGTCAGTCGCCATACATGCAAAATGTTTGTAACCTCTGACTGTCGTCGTTGTTTGTTTTGTGTGTTTAAAACGTTTTAATTTTTTGACTGATTGAAAATGGGCTCCCCAAAGTCTAGTGTTTGGCAATATCTGACAAAAAGCGACGAGAAAAGCGCAATCTGGAAAACATGCTTTACAACCATGCGTTTTTGTGGCAATATGTCTAATTTATATATTTACATCTACATATCTAAATATATAAAATATTATATTGGACCTGATAATGATAAAAACTATCAATACTTGTTACTGTTTTTATTTAGTTTATTCTAAATATTACAGATAAAAACCGATCGATATAAGTAAGTATCAATACTTTTCAAACCATACTGAGTAAGTATTGATACTTTACTACCAATACTGTATCGATACCCCATTGGTATTGTTTCGTCCCTAGTCACAACTCCAATTTCAGAAACTTAGGCTTTTGATAAATTCCTTCTTTCACTTAGATTTCTGTGAAGAAGACAATGAGGAGCCTGTACAAAAGAATAATATCCCTCCTCCTAAGGACCAGTTTGAAACAAATATTGAAGATGAGTTATTAGTGGAGGTGAGTTTGCTTGATATTCCATAAATAATTATTATTAGTAAAAGGGTGAGAAAGGAGCATACAGTCTATCCTATGGTAAGTGGATGCTCTAGCTCATAGAGGACTATTTCCGTTATTTAAAGAAAATTATTTTTTTTTTTAAATAATTTAGGTCCATAGCCTGTGACTGTACAGTTTTTTCACCACTATTTAGAGAAAGTGAGAGTTAACACAATATGGCTTAATTGCTTTTAAAAGCTACTCTTTAGGCAAGTAAATATATTTTTAATTCTATTTGATGTTTCTAGCTCATTGACTTATTATATTGATTTACATTAATAGAATCAATATTTGGCCAAATGTTGGGTGATTTGAGATAACATTTTAAACAATGAAAGCGTATTGCTAGAAGTAAAGAGAAGCAACAAAATTAATGTTGCCTCCATTTTATATTGAGTAAATGCAGGGAATAGATTGAATAAAACTATTATTTACGGATTTTATCGCGTTTAATTACTTTAATTTATTTTTATTATTCCGACGTTTCGGGTGGTTTACAGCACCCATGGTCACGGGGGGGACTGAGATGTTTGACGTCCCAATGTCATAGTTAGTCCGGCTACCTTCAGTTTTTGAATATTAATTTTTAGTCCGATTTACGCAAAACGAGCTTATAGTATCATGAAGTCTTGCAGTGGTATGCTTGGGTTTGGGTTTAATTTTGTTAATTATAGGATCCCAAGCAGCTGGCAGCACCCATCCATCTTCTCTATTGAAATTTGGATGTTTTTTAATTTCAATAGCCTCGCGTATCAGCCTTGGTAGGAATCCGTGTTCTTTTGCGAGGATATGTGGTTTATCAAATCGAATGTAATGGTGGGGACGATCTTGAACATGTTCACAGACTGCAGACTTCCAGAGATGTTCTGCGAAAATCCGTAAATAATAGTTTTATTCAATGTGTAGTGTTCGCATAAATTTAAGAAATCATTATGCAGGGAATAGAGTGAGTGGGGTACTACACTCTATTATGAAGAATCAGAATGTGTCAAAAAAGGCACGTATGGTAATTCATAATGCTGTGTTAGTCCCTACTTTAATGTATGGTAGTGAAAGCTGGGTGTGGCAGAAGAAGCACGAAAGTAGAATAAACGCTGTAGAAATGCGGTCTTTAAGGAGTGTGCTAGGGTTGAATCTGAATGACAGGGTGAAAAATTGCATGATAAGAGATAAATATGGTATGCAAGATGATATTGTGACCAGGATTAAGAAAGGAATGCTTCGGTGGTTTGGTCATGTAGAAAGAATGAATGAGGAAAGAGTGACAAAGCAATTTTATATGGCAGATGTGAGCGGCAGAGTCGAGAAGGGACGCCCTAGAAGAAAGTTTATCGACCAAATTGGCGATAATTTGAAAATGGGCCACGTTAGAATTACCCTTAACCGACGAGCATGTATGCGTAGATATATGGATGTAAAGGAGGCGAAAGAGGTATGTCAGGATCGTGCCAAATGGAAGTCCGTAGTCTCTGCCTACCCCTCTGGGCGTGAGTGTTTATGTTTATTATGTTTTTTTTTTCATTTTGATTAGTTAATTTGGTTATAAACATGTTTGCATTCATAAATATTATGCTTTGGCTATATTTAACATTAGGACTTTCAATGTTTATGTTCAAATAAAATAAACCAAAGAAACCTTTACTATAGTTAGAAATAATTTATCTAAAAGAGAGAAGAGAGCCATTAGAGCAATATATAATTTAAAACCAAAAGAGTCACTGAGACAAAAATTTAAGGAAATTAATATATTAACTCTGGCCTCTCAATATATTTATGAAAATGTAATGTACGTACACAAGAATAAACTTAGTTTTGCAAAAATAAGTGATATTCATTCTGTAAATACTAGAAACAGACACAAGCTAGTAGTACCAGTTACTCGACTCCACCGAGTCAGTAATTCATTGTTGGGGCGATGTATACGCTTTTAAAACAAAATCCCAGAAAATATACAAAATTTGTCATACGCAAAGTTCAAAAATTTTATTAAACTAAGTTTGTATAACAAGGGTTATTATAATATTAAGGAATTTATGGATGATAGTAACCCCTGAGAAGGGTGATCGCTACCAAGCTATTTCTAATTTGTGTTGTGTTGTTAATTGTAAACATGATTGTAAGCTATTATTTGAAAAAAAAAATAGTCCCGCTGGGTTTCTTGCTGGTTCTTGCCAGGACAGAGGTTTTTTTTGCGAACCAGTGGTAAATGAAAAAATTGACTTTCAATAAGTATTGCTTATAATCTACATTGAATAAAAAAGTTTCTGTTTCTGTTCCTATGTAGCCAATTATCTAGTTTTGTATTGTATTTTTTTTATAGTATAGGGTGACAAACAAGCACACAGTCCACCTGATGGTAAGTGGTTGCTGTGGCCCATAGACACCCACACGTATCCTCGATTACGAATCAAAATGCAGATGCGTTACCACCCGTAAGGACTAAGATGGAATGCCTCATTTCCAGTAAAAAGGGTGTCCGGTTCTCTACACTCACCATACAAAAAACAGCAGCACTAAGCTACAATTGATTGAATGAAACAAAAACTTTATTATTATTCTGGCATTTACACAACAAAATATTGATCTATTAGAGAGGCTATTGTGGTTAAGCTACATAAAATATAATAAGAGCAATCACAATTCGTAGCATAAACTTAAAATTCTGAGGAGAATTAACTTATTTTAGCCAGTTTGGTTATCTGACTTCCTTTAAGGTGGTCTAGCGTATGTATATAGTTTTAATTTTAAATCACATTTTTTTGTAACACTGAAACGGAACTTTGAATAAAAGATAATTTGACTCATGCGACTTTATTAATTTTAGTTTTTTATTATAGAAAGCGAAATAGCTTTTATTAATAAGACATAAATTAAATTAGTCAACCAAATACATACTATATATGTACATGTTACTCAGGTGCATAAAGACAAAGTTAAAAAAAAGTACATGATAGTACAAGAGTCAAACTGCAGCTATATTATGGTGAGAGCACGAATGGGTCGGCCACGACCGGGGAAGAAATACACTCTCACAGAGTACCAACATTAAGAGGTAACTATATGGTGCTGTGTTTCGTATGGTTGGTGTAGAAGACCGAAGACCCTTTTTGAGAACTAGTAAGACTGTAAACGTAGTGGAAGAAAGATTGTAAACTCAGGACTCCATCTCAGTCCTCAGGGGTGACAGCACAGCATCTACTTACCATCAGGTGCTCGTTTGTCACCCTTATTCTATAAAAAAATCACAAGATACGAATTACGCCTGTACATGTATAAATATGATTTTTAAGACAACTGATTTCCACTTTTTATGTAAATAGTGAAAAATATCAGTTACATAATAGTTGATATTACGGAACTGCTTATGGAATTTGGAATGATACTTTAATATATTTGTATTTCAAAAAATAATATTTTCGAAGTTTACAACTTACTGCAACTACTATTATTTTATTTTATTTATTTGTTATTTATTTGATCTATTGGACACGTATTATTTAATTTATTTGACCTTTAGACATGTCTTGTATTATTACTATTATTTAAAACTGTAATTTGTAAATTAGTATGCTGAAGTTTTTGGCATACTGTAAGCCAGCATGTATACTGTTTTTAAAATATAAATAAATAAATAAAATAAATATAAAAGCCTTTTAGCTTTGAATTTATATTTTGCAATTGTATTCTTTTCTGTAATGTAATTCTTATTATTTTAGGATGAAGACAATGAATTTGAACATTTTCAAGATCCAGAAGAATTTGAAGGTTTCCAGGACAGTGCACCTCGCAGCTCTGAACAACCCAAGATCACTATTTCTAAAGTATGTTCAAATATTGATTTCGATGTTATCAAAAATATTAATATTTTAATATAAACTGTTAGTACACAGATTGTAAAAGATTATGAAGATGTTCTTTTGGCTGATTTCAAATTCGGAGACACCGTCTGAATAATATTGAAAACTATACATAGCGCTAAAAATTTACATGCAAACATGGAGGCATTTCCTATTGACCTACATATATAATACTAGCTTTTTACCCGCGGCTTCGCACGCGTGGGCTTCCGTTGAGGAACAACATTAATGCTCCATACCAAAATCAACAAAGTTGGATCACTTGTAGAGTCGCCTCGGTGTCACGTTTGTTACTCAAGTGATATCTTTTGAATTCTTAGATTATTAGACATAGATTTTTTTAGAATTGCGTTAATATCATACGTCTAGCAACTCCTGTCACGTTTTATATCGGTCATGACTTCCGAGGTATCTTTAATAAGGGTAAATTATTTTTGATTCAAAGTTACATTATTTACTCTTTACATTTATTCATAAATTATGGTAATTTAATTTTGACCGAATAATGTCGAATTTCATTGTTTTCTATTAATGTACGTCAGAGTGTTTATTTGCAATATTTGTTTTATATCATTGGCCTATTGAATATTGATTGGCACTATAAAATAGTTGCTTATAGTTTTACTAATCCATCAAATAGAGATAAAAAATTACATCGGATAACTTAATACCAAAGGAAGTTAGTGAAATTATTGCTATGCCGATATACAATACACCCAATAAGTATAGTTACGTACTAAAAAGTTTCTCTTTTAATCACAGTTTTGTAGACACAGTATCCAGTATAACAGTTAGAAATAATGGCTGGATATTTTAAGGTTTTTTCTCAGTATCAGTTAGTATTTAGTTATTATTAGTTTATTTAGCAGTAAATAGATGGCGCTAATTTTAGATTAAAACTATGAAAGCCAAAACTCTCAAGTTATGTAAATGTGACCAGATCGTAGAATTGATCATACACTCAGCGTCACAAAAATCGCACCTCTTGAGTTTGCGCGAAAAATGGCTGTAATGGCTAGAAACGAATTATATTTATATAAATAATGGTATGTTTGAAATGGGTATTTGAATAGCTTTACATTATTAATAAAAAAATCATGAAATCATTAAAACATTTATCATTATAGAGCGTCAAAAATAAACACTGTCAAATGCTCGTTAGTAAGGACGCTAGTTACACCACCTAAAAAGGGTATAAAAGGGTCGATCTGGATGAAATATGGGTCAGTCGTAATTTAGACTTTGCAGTGAACACACGTGAACAAGTAACCCAAGTAAGAACAAGTAAAGATGGACACCAGCTCTGAAGAAGCCGCTCAAGTGATTGCCCTATTGCAGTCGGGGATGCGGCAGTGTGACGTTGCTCGACAGTTGAACCTGTCCCGTTTTTCAGTTCGACGGGTGTTCCAACGTTTTTAGCAGACTGGTGGTTATGTTAGAAAACCGGGATCTGGAAGAAAACGGTGCACATCAGAAAGAGATGACCGTTTCATCGTTACGACATCTTTACGAAATGCTGTTGAGTTGCTTCAACAACAGCTTCGATCAACTCTGAGAACATCTGTGAGTGTTTCTACGATAAGAAGAAAGTTACACGAAAAGAGTTTAACAGCCCATAGACCTGCTAAAGGTCTAAAACTTACTGCACAGCATCGCAGAGATCGCCTATAGTTTGCTCGCAATCATTGCGAGGGGACTCTAGAACAGTGGCGGACCGTACTCTTCTCTGATGAGGCGAGCGTCTGTCTCTTCTGCAATGGCAGACGTAGAAGGGTCTACAGAAGACAGGGGGGAGAGGTTCACACAACCCTGCTTCGAAGAATCCGTCGAATACGGGGGTGGCTCGTGTATGTTTTGGGGCGGCATTTCCGTCGACGGGAAAACGGAACTTAAGGTGTGCGTTTCCCGGACTCGGGGTGGCCGCGGGCAAGGGTCATTAAATGATGGTCGGTACATTACTGAAATCCTGGAGGAACATGTGGTCCCGCATGCTGATTATGTCGGTGATGGATTCATGTTAATGCATGATAATGCTCGTTGCCACACCGCGGCTATTGTACGGGATTATTTACAGGAGGTCGATATCCCTGTTATGCATTGGCCAGCACGAAGTCCAGACCTTAACCGATATACAATACACCCAATAAGTATAGTTACGTACTAAAAAGTTTCTCTTTTAATCACAGTTTTGTAGACACAGTATCCAGTATAACAGTTAGAAATAATGGCTGGATATTTTAAGGTTTTTTCTCAGTATCAGTTAGTATTTAGTTATTATTAGTTTATTTAGCAGTAAATAGATGGCGCTAATTTTAGATTAAAACTATGAAAGCCAAAACTCTCAAGTTATGTAAATGTGACCAGATTGTAGAATTGATCATACACTCAGCGTCACAAAAATCGCACCTCTGAGTTTGCGCGAAAAATGGCTGTAATGGCTAGAAACGAATTATATTTATATAAATAATGGTATGTTTGAAATGGGTATTTGAATAGCTTTACATTATTAATAAAAAAATCATGAAATCATTAAAACATTTATCATTATAGAGCGTCAAAAATAAACATCTCTGGGATGACCTAAAACGGCGCGTGCGAGCTCGAGATCCAGCTCCAACCACTCTTCAAGAGCTCCATGATGCGGTAGTTGAAGAGTGGGAACAAATACCCCAAGAGGCTGTTGCGACCCTTGTAAGGTCCATGAAAGATCGCATGGAAGCCGTTATCAAGGCAAGGGGGGGTAACACTAGGTTTTAAGAACTTTTTTGTATTTATTAAGTTTTTTTTTAAATTATTAATTTGCAAATTTGTACATACCCTGTCTTTTTCTTTAATTTCTCTTTCGTCTCGTTATAAAATTAAAATTCCTGAAAGCTAATGAAATTACCTTTCGAATGGTCCCCCCAAACCACAACATTGCCATTGGCCTGTTGTGTTAAAATAGTATTTAATTTATTTTTTTCGGATGTGCGATTTTTTTGACGCCGAGTGTATTATCATTAAGTGCTGGACCACTTCAAATATCGCAATCATTTCATGATAGCCGATTATTACTGACCATCTCTCCATAGAATAAAACAAAGTCACTCCTGCCGTCTGTACGCTGAGATCTTTTAAACTACGCAAAATTTTGTTTCTGTTAAACAATTCGCAATCGGCGCCGCTAGCGGTGAATAGTGAAAGTATTTTACGATATAATTAGAATATTTTGAAAAAGCAGTGTTGGGTGTAGTTGTTAATTTCTTCAAACAATGTTTATTCTTCGATTTGGTCAAGCCTTATCATGATATAGTCAACAGAGAAAGTGTTAAATTTCACGAAATGTCACAATTTCATGTAAATATAACGAATATTCATGATCAATTCAATCAATTCTACTGGTCACAACATATACAAAATACCTTTAAATAGGGTATAAGTGTAATGAAAGTTTTGCAATAATCGCCGGCAAACCAATGTTAATCAATCAGTTCATTATTATATATTAGTAATTAAACTAAAAATCATCTGAATTTTCACAGATTTCACTATTATCTATTTAAATTATTACTATTAAAATGAAAAACTTAAAATAAATCTTAGAAGTTTCAAATCATTTAGTAAATATATTTCTTTAAACATATAAATCTAAGTTATGTTATTTAAATTATTAGTAAGTAACAGATAATTGAAAGCTAATTAATAAATAAACTTTTTACTTTTTATGACTGATTGACATTGATTGACAGACTGTTTCGGAAACGTAGATCGTTGGCGTAGTTTCACATTATTACATAACAGTTAAAACAAATTTTAATTATAAATATCGTATTTGTTTAAAAACACTACGTTATCCCGCCTATATAACAGAATCAAACATAATTGAAAATTAACTTCTAAAGAAAGGAAAATATTTAACCCTCCTTTTTTAAGTTCCGTAATCGGATAAAACGTCGCCTATAAGTAGCCCCGGGTCACGAACTGCCTGCACACAAAATTTCATGGAGATCTGTCCAGTAGTTTTTGCGTGAACCTCTAATACACATACACGGACAGACAAAAATTCTAAAAACCAATAATTTGACTTCAGTATCCTTTATTTAGTCCCATGGACTTGTTTTTTTCCAGGAAATATTAGAATTACAGATACGACTTTTCTACAGATTTATTATATGTACAGATAGATGTAACACTTATGTGACAAAATGCAGATTTATGTACGTACAAAAATCTGCAAATTGTGCAAACAATTGTAAATAATGCTTACAATCCAAATGTTAAAATATTTTTGAAGCCAATGTAACTCGGGTGTAACTTGAGTGTAACTTTTAGATATTTTGTTGGAAAGCTCTTTTGATACAAACTCTTGTTAAAATCTGAGACTAAACATAAACTGTTTTTTGTAGATGGTATAAATATTAATTAATTATATTCAATATCCATTAATCCTTAACAGCCTATCAAAGTTCACAGCTGAATATAGTTCTGGTAACCTATGGGGATTGCGTCATGGAGTTGATATGTTTCATAGTTGCCACACTAAACTGGTGGGTGGGGTGCATTTTTTTTAATTAAAATTGTTATCAAGAAGATGCTGCTACCCTTTCAGTTTCCCTCCCTCGCATCTTACGACACCCACGGGATGACTTGGGCTGGTAGATATTTCTTACACCGCCACTACATAATAAAGTTATATATTTATTTGTTAGTGATCATTTATGATTACAGGTTCCTATTACAGTGCGTCCACGATGGGATGCATATTGGCTAGAAGGCATTCTTTGCTGCGCACTCGCTGCATACGCGCTCGTGTATGCTGTTGGCCGAGCAAAAAATACTTCCATAGCTATCAATTTCCTGAAGCTCCACAAGCCATTGTTGGATGACAACTTTACGCTAGTTGGTAAGTTTGTTTACAATATTATTCATTAAATAGGAAAATAATTGCAATTGGAAGTCATTAAAAGGAGAATTAATTAATGATAAGTTTTTTTATAGTGTTGTAAGAGCAACTATACAAAAAGATGTTATGACATCCAATGGATGGTGATATATCATCTTTATATAAGGGTTGATCCAAAAGTAAAGATAATAAATATTAAACTGTTTGATTATAGTTAGTAAAATAATTTATTTTTCTACATAGTTTCTTAACAAATTAATGCATTTCGTCCATCTTTTTTCTAAACCCAGAATTCCCTTAGAAAAAAATCTTTATCTTTTTCCTTCAAAAAAGCCTCAACAGCATCCATCACTTCGTTATTGTCTGCAAATTTTTTGCCTCGAGGTGTTCCTTGAGCAGAGGAAATAGATAGAAGTCATTGGTAGCTAGATCTGGCGAGTAAGGCGGGTGTTAGAGCAGTTCAAATCCCGTTTCTTGAGTGATCGTAACTGCGGCTTTGTGAGCCGTAGCGTTGTCCCGGTGAAACAGCACCCTAGCTCTCAGTTTGCCGCGTCTTTTTTCCTTGAAGACTTCCGCAATCTTCTTATTTGGCCTGCGCAGTAATAGCTCGAAACCTTTTTCCACCATAATTATACCTTCAGCGTACAAAAAAATGGACGCCATAACCTTCTCGTCGAACTCGACCTTTAGAATTTCTTCGGCGTCGGTATGTAGGCTCCTTTCAAACCATTAATTGTTGTTTGGTTTCGGGATCAAAATGTTGGATCCAACTCTCGTCCATGGTCACGAAATATGACAAAAAAAATTCCTAATCTGCTTGGAACCTTTCGAGATTCACCCTCGAAATGTTGATTAGTGTTTTCTTATTTCTCTTTTCGAAAGTTTCGAATAATTGAATGTTTACATTACATCCTAAATGGTCTTTCTTTGAAGAGCCTCATGTGTTCACGAAGGTTCCTAAGAAAGTGATGATTCATCGGAAAATTCGAATAGTTTTCTAATCACATGTATTTTTCCTATCCAGCCATTGATTGTTTGCAAAAATTTATTTTGTTGGCATCTAGATATTTTTTTTGGGTTTTGCGGCCTGCTTTTTCTGTTCGATTGGTTTATTTTTAAACACATTTTTTGAATAACATCTGTTTTAGTTTGTTGGCTCGTCGTTATGTTTTAACCTAGTTTAGCACTATGTTTTTTTTTTACAAATCTAAGCCAGTGCTTGACTTCTATCCCACCTGATAGTAAGTGATGATGCAGCCACAGAATGAGACGCATACTTACTTAACAAAAGCCTATTCACTCTTGCCTTGAAGATATCTTGTATTGTAATCAAATAGAAAGACTGATGCTGGCAACTTATTCCACTCCTTTGTTGTACACATGATGAATGATGAAGCAAACCTTTCGATTCGAATGCGTGATAAGTCGACAACAAAAGGGTTGAGTCTGGCCGAGCGTCTCGATGTCGCCTGGTTCGATTCTTATAGTACTTCTACAGAAACATAGCATAACACTTGGGGTATGTTCCGAATTACAACCCAGTACACTGGCCAATGCAAATGACGTCATAAATCGACGCCATATTGGTGATTCGTTGTATCGAATTTGGTGGAATCTGGTCACCTTGGTCACATCCTTTAAATAATAAATATTCATTTTGTTTTAGGTGAAATGGGATCAGATGTAGTGTCAGTTGGTGATGACCCAGGTTGGAGGCGTGAAGCTGAGCACTGTTTCACAATGTGGTGTAGTGGTCGTGTATGTTGTGAGGGAATGCTCCTTACCTTGAAGCTTATAAAGGTGAATTTGAACTATTGTATAGCTGCAATTCTTCTATCTAATTTTTTTATAGCATTACACCGCTATTTTACGCTGGTATTCTGTGAGAGCATAGTACTGCCCCGGTCAAGCCGATCCATTCATGCTACAACTAACGCTATACTATAGCTGCAGCGTGGCTCTACCACGTAAAATAATATATAATTCCTGTAAAATAGTGCTAAAGGATTGTCCGAAACTTATGACTCGACGTGATATCAAAAGTCAACGGAAATTAAAATGCAATCTTATAGCAAACTTAGGATGCAGAATCCGAAAACTAATAATTACTTTGTTGTGCATATTTTAGCTCTGACTATCAACTAACTTACTTACTTACTATCAGTAAACAATTTTTTGCACAGATTGTAAAAAAATATATCATGATTTTATTGATTGAAATAATTAATATGCCAGCATAGGAGGCGACTATTAGAAAAACGAAAAGATCTAATGTCCTGTGCTAAATGAAGATAGTGTATTTTTAATACGTCATGAAAATGAATGGTTAAGGTGGTAGCGCCGGCCGTCCGTCCATACATTTTTAATCAAATTATACTCAATACTCAATAACTTTATTGCATTCCATAAGTTACAAAAGGTGTTACATAGTTTTATGGTATCTCTATAGATCCTGATGGGCACAGCAATATTATGAAGGAGGAAAATTTATTTTGTTTTATTATTATTATTGTTAAATAATTATTTAATATTAAAATTCATTATATTATATAAACATACACACATTGAAATTGGAATATAGCTATTATAATTGTTATTATTTATAATTGATTTTGACATTTAATTTATTATTATAGATAAGTAGTATAATTAGCACAGTTGAATTTTTATTAAATTATTTGAATCGTTTTAAATTTTACTAGAATTTTTTATTGTAATTTATTTAGTAGGATGGCATTTCATTATTACCTAACATATTTATATTTATACATATTATATTATATTTTTATCTTCTAAAAATTCAGAAGTACTATAGTAACACTTGTTTATAAGTAGTTGCTTTAATTTTTTTACAAATGATTTTTCGTCTTCAATGTTTTTTATATATTCGGGTAATTTATTATATATTTTATAGACATGGCAAATGGGCTGGAAGAATGAGATTTTAGTTTTAAGTTGGTAGCACTAGTTAGTTTCTCTGTCTTAGATTCCTAGATATATAAATGATGTCATCACGTTTTGTGTACAAGCTTGGATTTTTTTTTGACAAATTTGCATAGTTCCAAAATATAGATACAGGGCAGGCTTAAAATGTTGTACTTCTTAAAGTAAGGCTTACAGCTTTCTGTGTTTTGTATATTAGCTATGATTCGTATTAGTTCTTTTTGTTTAATTAATAAACGTGAGGTATCAGTACTGCATTCCCGTAAGACAATACCGTAGCTGAGCCATGCATTTGCATACGCGTAGTAGGTGGTTATCGCGGTGGTTATATCTGTTGTTTTTTTTTACTTCTCGTAACGCGTACATAAAACTGCTTAACTTTCTATGTAATTTTTCTATATGTGGTTTCCAAGTAATATAGGTATCTATTTATTAGGCCTAGCAGGTTGTCCTCGTTAACTGTATCTATAGTGAAGCCGTCATTATCTATTTTTATATCTAATTTTGGTTTTTGATATGGGTGAAAAGATATTATTTTAGTTTTCGATAAGTTTATCCGCAGGTTTTGTTTAGTTTTATATACACTAAACACAGACACTCTTTTTTTAAAACTAATCATTTTATCACTTCTCTACAATGAAATGTGTACGGCGTTTGACCTTTGTAGGCAATAGCTTACATTATATACTGAGAAAAGCAATAGTGAAATCCCGGAAAAATTTGACACTTCTTTAGTAGTGTGCGTGACTTTTGATAAGCAAACGAAAGGCGACGTTTAAACATTGGCACGCTAGATGGCATGCAAGTGATCTTAAATAATTCTGATAAATCAATATCTTAAGTTGTTAGTTAATTTCCTTTCCAACCGTTAAAAAAAAACAGTATAAAATAACATAAAACTAATGACCTTAGGGCACCTATGTTTTTTTGTAAACGATTTTATTACTTATTATTGTTTTGTGGCAACATAAATACCAAAAGTCGTTGGTAGAGCGACGATGCCGTCCTTCCTGACCTTGACTTGACGAAAAAAAAAGTTCGTTTACTTGTTTGACTTGTTATAAAATACATTCTGATTTCGGTTGTCACGCGCTATGATTTGCGCGCGGAATTTCTTGTGTATTATACATATTTTGTATGCATGTTTTCATTGACTCGAATTGCAATATTTCTCTAGTATATATTTGAGACTATATTGTAATTTATCGTAGGTATAGTAATTAATTATTCTAAAAACGCAATTATGTTTTCGGTGGTATTAGGAACAGCAGGCTGGCCCGTGATTTTTCTGAAATATCGTCACAATACTGATTACCTACGTCATACGTGTTAGTGTTTCATATATGAATGTGTTTAAATATATTTTTGGTCAACAATAAATACAATTATTATAAATCGGTAAACTACCAAAGTAGTCACAAAATTAAACTTGCAAACATTTGCTAAATATGGTTTTTCCGGGTTACATTAAACACCTTTTACGCATTTTGCAAACAGTTTTAGACAGACACACATTATTAGTTTGTTATATTTTTTAGAACTCAAGTTCACAGTTATGGTGCCGTTCAGAAACAAATATAATTCAGTTACATAAAATCAAATTTTTTCTGTTCCGTGCTTTGTTGTCTATAAATAAATAGCTTATTCTAAGAGTTATATTTTTTTTGCCCAGGAATATAAAGATAACATTGAAATAAAAAAGATAAGTAAATTTTTGTACATTTTTGTGTTCTAGATCTTGTGATCCGAACGCAACCCAATTCATATAGAATTGAAGAAAGATTTGTATATATTTTGTTGTTATCTCTTGTTTATGAATTATAGTTTCTGACGTGTTGGTTATGAAATGTCTAATTATTGTAATAATTGGTACTGTTACAAATCATCAGTGTTATTAGTTTTGAGTGAATAGGCATGTATCAGCATAATTATGTTGCTTCAAATAGGTACTTCTGTTTTGATAAAAAATTCAATAGTGTAATGTAATAAAATAAAACCGCGTTATATTGTAATCAATGTTGACATAATTTATTTCCCAAAGTTATAAATCAATTAAATAGTTTACAATTAAAAATTAAAAACTTGTTTTTTACATACACGCCATCTAGTGTTCAAGCTTCGTAAACGTAGGGATACGTCTGTGTGTGTAAACGACACTATTCAATGACAGATGTTATAATCAAACTTTGTATCGAATTGAGTGGATTTTGAGGCAATGATATGACCCATTCCAATAAAATGTAATACCCGATAACCGCAAAGTCTACTCCTACGACTTAATAATTTTCCAATTACACAAAAACCCAAATAAACTAAAAATGTTGACTTCAGCGCCATCTTGCGGGAGAATGGCTGGGAGCAGTCCGTAGGTTTTACCTTAAGGGTGCGCACCATGAACTCAAAGGTTGTGAGTTCAAATCAGCCATTCCATTGTCTTGAATAACACTTACTTGGAGTAGTTAACCAGTAAATTAGTATTTTTGATGTAGAAAGACCTCTATTTTTGTTTTACAACATTTCTAATCTGGGAATAGCCTTTATAACCTTTTTAAAAATGAGTGTCCATATTAAAATTTTCTTACAATACAGAACAAACAGGGTTGTATAGATTCGATAATCTCGCATTGTCCTACATACTTTGATGTATGTATGTACATTTGTGAATCGGTAGTCGTTCGGAGAACATCCACTTTACTTTTGCTCACCCTATGTAATTAATTACACATGTAAGAAGTGAATTTCAATTTATCGTTTTTCCAGCGCCAAGACTTGGTCAACGTACTCTTGGGATTTGTTAGACCATCTCCCGACACATTGCTGATTCGTGTGGAACTTGGCAAAGATGACAGCGACCCCTTTGTTCTGTGCGTTGCCCAGAAGAAATTCGCCACTCGCTTGTCCAAAGAGATGCAGGACCTGGTGGGTATAAGAATTTTTTTTATCTTAAGTAAAGTTACTTTTATCACTAGCAATATCTATAAATGGGTTTGTAATAGAATTATAATAAACTAGGGATATGCCTCTGTTAAATCGGTCATTTGATTATATTGTAAACCATTCCTAGTACAAAAGCTTATCTTCAGATGGTTGGTAATGTTTTGTTTAAATAAAGAAAAAACACTATTTAAATGATGTGTTTATTGTCTGTGCGAAATATCAGAGAAATCTGATCTCATAGCTATTGATCAATGCTATTATAATAATATTTTAAACCCCGTCTTCATACAATCCTTTACTACGTCTGCTGTTTTAAAATTACTTGGTTTTCTGTCAAGAAATTCTTAGTACATAATCAGGAAGTTGGCAGTGTTTCATATCCATCTTTCGAAAACTTCTTTCTTGACGGTCGTGTCGGATTGCTGTTCCATCAGACTGAAAGTAATGGAATACGGTGCACCTGTGTTTGTGCACGGTGCACACACTCATGCACTATAATGATAATTCATCGCAGATGACTAATCTTCATTGAGACTGCGACTTGACTGGAATTCAGTCTGGAGTACATTATTATGTTAGTTTTCTGTTCGCAGAGTGTGTTCTGCCCGGAGCGTCGTGCTGGCGATAAACACGGGCTTCCAAGCACGATGAACGTACTCTCCGAGTGTGCGGAGGCGACTGGCGCGTTTTTAGACGCCAGGGTCTGTAGTGCGCTCACGCAGTACCACAAGCACGTGCAGTATATACACGTGTCCGACCGATATTCCGGCCCCAAGCAGATGGAGTAAGTAAAGAAAGAAAGTCACTTAATTTATTGCTTATACTAGCCATACGAATAAATGAAAATCTTACATATACAACATGTCCCAAAATTCAACGATAAGCCAACACCGGAGGATAGACCTGCCCCGGACTAATCGGGGAAAAAAAGAAAAAAAATATCCCAATTATATTTTAAGTTATATAAAAAAATGAAATTCTTCAGAAATTGAGACCGTTTATGATATTTTTCACTACCATGACCACAATTTTTATAATATTTGTTTCTTTTTTTTTAAGAAATAATAGGCCCATATTTTTTATAACTTGTTTTCCTAGAGTATTATACTATTTTGGAATGTTGGTTAGTTGCGTCGATTTTAAAAAAAAAACTTGCCATACTAGTGTTCATACTTTTTTTTTACACCACGATAAGTTAAAGTTGGTTAAAAGTAAAGTCTTCAAAAAATTTAGGGAATAAAATAAGTTTCATTAATTTTCGTGATAAAACAAGAGTTATTCTGGATTTTTTAAGAATTGTGGTAGATAGCAGTGCTATTCAGGTTGCCTATAAAAAAAAAAGAAACAAATATTAAAAAAATTGTGGTCATGGTAGTGAAAAATATCACAAACGGTCTCAATTTCTGAAGAATTTCATTTTTTTTATATATAACTTAAAATATAATTGGGATATATTTTTTTTTCTTTTTTTCCCCGATTAGTCCGGGGCAGGTCTATCCTCCGGTGTTGGCTTATTGTTGAATTTTGGGACATATTGTATACGGGGTGGTGCCTTGTTCAATACAAAGTGACAAGTCTGTCTTTTTTTACTGTACATGAAATACAATCAAATTCATTCAAAAGTTAGTCAGTCACTGAAATTTATTTTGGTTTAGTAATTTTTACACACACATGATGTAGAACTTTTTATTAGGCGAAAGGCCCCAACCTGTGTGACTTTAGGAACACTAATAAAAGTGTACTCCTTTGAAAAAGCCGTTTCTTCCTATGTTGTTCTATCACATCAAAGGTGATAACGTCATCAGTCTGTTCGTATTTATTATTTTTATAATAAAAAATAAAGTGCATTTTTTGTTGGTATCTAACTCGTAATGTTTTTCGTTTTAATATTTTGAAAGAAAAAAATTTAAATAACTTTGTTTTTACTCGAATTTTCACACCACAAACGAAGCCAGGCAGCCAGTATTTTATAACAAAAAAAAAAATTAATTCTTTCATTCTTGACTTTGGCACGTTCAATAGGCCGTGTCGACGACGCAGCCATCCTAATTTTTATGTAAATATTATATTGTTATATTTAAACAGGGAGTCTTCAACAACAAAACTGCCGGAAACAGAGCGCGTGATGTTGGTCAGCTTGGCGTTGGGACCAGACGGTGGAGGTGATGAGTTGAGACCGTTGCTTCTGCTTGTATTTTACATGCTGGACAAGATCAAACGTTTGCGACTTAGTAAGGAGGTATGTGGAATTTGTCTGCTTCATTCTTCTCTACATAATATAAATATATTTTTACGTGGTAGAGCCACGCTGCAGCTATATTAGTAGTATAGTTGTAGCAATACCACAGAATACCAGCTTAAAATAGCAGCTTAACGCTGCAGAGTTTCGTATGGTGAGTGTAGAGAACTGGAACTTTACTGGAAAAGAGGCATTCCATCTTAGTCCTCACGGGTGACAACTCATCTGCATTTTGATTCGTGATCGAGGATAGATGTAGATGTCTATGGGCCACAGCAACCACTTACCATCAGGTGGACTGTGTACTTGTTTGTCACCCTCATCCTATAAAAAAAAACAAAGTCGTTTCCCGCTGTCTGTACGCTTAGATCATTTAAACTACGCAACGGATTTTGATGTGGTTTTCATCAATAGACAGAATGGTTCAAGAGAAAGGTTTATATGTATTATACATGCATATATTGTGGAGATTCAAAAATCATCTGTGCGAAGCTGGGACTGATATAATTTATAATACATGAGCTACAACTAAACTTCAGTCTACCTTATGGTAAGATGCCTTATCCATTTCTGCTGCCAAACGGTATTACGTGCACTGCCGTGTTGGTCAAAGGTTGTTAGATGTTAGTATATGTACAGGCTGTAAGGCACTCCATGTAAATCATCAGAGGTGTCATCACATGTGTAGAATGCTTTGTTTGAAGTTGTCTGCAGGTATCCATGTACTGCAGTAGCCACTTACGGACTGTGTGACTGTAAGTGTATAATAACATCCCTTTGTGAACCAGATTAGCTTCATGCTCTCAGCTGGTCTTCTATACACCCATGTTTAGGTATTGACGAAACGGTTTTAACGTCAAAACACATCTCGTGTTGACATTTATACATGTCAATTGACGTGTTAGTGACATTTTAGTGGCTACATGGGCTCCGCCCACTCCCCATTCTATTACGTATTTATTATAGGAAGTATTCTATGAGTTGGACTGTAAGATCATATATATATATATATATAATATATATATATATATATATATATATATATATATATATATATATATATATATATATATATATATATACTTACATCCCCCCCCCTCCATCAAGGCGCTGGTGAAGTGCGAGAAGCGTCGTCAAAAGGTGGCGGAGGCGTGGCTGCGGGGCGCGCACGCGGCTCGGCAAGAGCAAGCCGCGCAGAGACGCGAAGAAAAGCGCAAGCAGGAAAAGGAGCGCATTCTGGCGGTAAGTAGGCTTTTATTGATTATTTTAGTATTTTATCAGATAATGTTAAAATATTTTATTTGTTAGTGAATAAGAAATTAAGCTTAACGTAGTAGGAGTCACACTGCAGCTATATTGGTAGTATAGTTGTAGCACAAATGGGTCGGCTCGACTGGGGAAAGACCAGGCTCTCACAGAATACCAGCTGGCGTAAAATATCAGCTCATCGCTACCGTTTCGTATGGTTAGTGTAGAAAACCGGATACCCCTTTTACTGGAAATGAGGCATTACATCTTAGTCCTCACGGGTGACAACGCATCTGCATTTTGATTCATAATCGAGGATAGACGTGGATGTCTATGGGCCACAGCAACTACTTAACATCAGGTGGACTGTGTACTCGTTACCCTTATCCTATAAAAAAGAAGTTATTAATGAGTTTATTTGTTAACTATTTTATTTAAGATTTTTTGTTGTACCAGGGCGTCATAATCGCATTGGCGACAAAGGCCTTTTTCTAGGAGTAAAAAAGTAGGTTTTCAAACGCTTTCAGGTTTTCCACTACTCAATGTTACATCGCAATCAAACACGTGTTTACACAAAAGAAAAACTCATATTGCCCTAGACGGCGATGTAGGCCAATGCAACCCTTCATTTGGGAAATACCAAAAAGATATTAATTAGTTTGGTACAGATAGCAAATCTTGCATGTGGTAGAGTCATACTGCGGCTAAATTATGATTATAGCACGAATGGGTTAGTTCAACTGGGGAAAGACCACGCTCTCACAGAATACTTGCGTAAAAATAGCAGCTGAATGCTGTTGTGTTTCCCATAGTAAGAGAAGAGACCAGGAATCCATTTTTAACGTAACGTAACGTGAGACATTCCATCTTGGTCCTGCAGGGTGACAACGCATCTACATTTTGATTCTTAATCAAGGATAGATGAAGATATCTACGGGATACAGCATCCACCTACCTTAAGGTGGACTGTGTGCTTGCTTCTCACCTTTATTCAATAAAAAATAACCAACTTGGCTATGGCAGACATAAAATACTCAAACGGGCGTCGGGGAGGAGTGTTAAAGGTGCGAAACAGTACTTCAATCGTCAAATTGCCTACAGGGGCCTCATTAATCGTTACGATTACGGTTACGATCAATCTGAAAGGATATCATCATGATAGATCGCTCAAAGCTTACCTATAGCTCGATCGAGATCGATCATTTACTTGTTGGGGGTGCTAAGAATCTCCGGTGGAGGTTCGGTTGCCACCTACGACGACTCGACCTGGCAACATTTAACGCACGCACACTGAGGACTGACGAGAAGATCCTGGAGCTGGAAGAAGAGATAGACAAGTTGCGCTGGAGTATTATAGGATTATCCGAGGTCCGAAGAGAGGGGGAGGACACGGTGATTCTCGAATCCGGCAACTTGTTCTATCACCGGGAGGGCGACCATCTGTCCCAAGGAGGTGTCGGATTTATCGTCCACAAGTCTCTCGTCAACAACGTTGTACAGATTGAGAGTGTGTCGACGAGGGTCGCGTACCTGATACTCAGCATCACCAAACGGTATTCGCTGAAGGTCATACAGGTTTACGCACCAACGTCGGCACATTCCGATGAGGAGGTGGAGGAAATGTATGAGGATATTTCCAAAGCCATACATTCCTCCAAAACCCACTACACGGTGTTGATGGGAGACTTCAACGCAAAACTAGGCACAAGAGAAAACGGTGAGCTGAAGTTAGGGAAATTTGGAGTAGGGCAACGGAACCGAAGGGGCCAGCAGCTGGCCGACTTTATGGAGAAAGAGGGACTCTTTATGATGAACTCTTTCTTCCAGAAGCGGCCCCACAGGAAGTGGACCTGGTCGAGCCCCGACGGTTCGACAAAAAATGAGATTGACTTCATTATGACGACCAGACGCCAACTGTTCAGTGATGTCTCAGTGATCGCAAGGGTGAAAACTGGCAGCGATCACCGAATGGTTAGAGGCACACTGAACCTAAACGTTAAGTTGGAGAGGTCTCGTCTAATGAAGTCAACGCTCCGTCCCCCCTCGTGCTCTGATCCAAAATCCCGAAAACTTTCAGCTCGAGTTACACAACCGCTTTCAGTGCCTACAAGATTGCAATGCAGTGGACGATATGAATGACAAGCTCGTGGAAACTGTCCATGCGGTCGGAGCTAAGTTCTGCAAGACCCGCCGCAGAAGAACACAAAAACTCTCCGATCACACTCTTAATCTCATGGCTGTTAGACGGGAGATGAGGCTGCAATCGTCAACAGATTTGACAGCATACAGGCAACTGAACAGACAGATCTCCAAATGCATGCGGCGAGACTTACGCAACTTTAATACTGCTCGTATTAAAGAAGCGATCGAGCGGAACCAGGGCTCCAAAGTCTTTGCCAGAGATCTGTCTGCCAGAAAGAGCCAACTGTCAAGGCTGAAGACTGAGTGTGGCAGCATCGTTTCCGGGACACCTGAGATTTTGAGTGAGATTGAGAGGTTCTATGGGCAGCTGTACACATCATCGTTGGAGCCACACGCAAGTGTGAGTAACGATCCAAGAGCAAGTCTTATCCGACACTATTCCGATGATATCCCGGACGTCAGTCTAAGCGAGATTAGAATGGCTCTCCAGCACCTTAAAAACGGCAGGGCCCCAGGCGAGGATGGAATTACAGCGGAGCTTCTGAAAGCGGGTGGAACACCGGTACTTGAAGTCCTTCAGAAGCTCTTCAATTCCGTCCTACATGGTGGCACTACTCCAGAGGCGTGGAGCAGAAGTGCGGTGGTCTTGTTCTTTAAGAAAGGCGACAACGCTCTCTTGAAGAACTACAGACCGATTTCCCTTCTGAGCCGCGTCTACGTGCTGTTTTCGAGAGTCATTACGAATCGTCTCGCACGCAGACTCGACGACTTCCAGCCTCCCGAACAAGCCGGTTTCCGAAAAGGCTTCAGTACCATAGACCACATACATACCCTGCGGCAGATTGTACAGAAGACTGAAGAGTACAATTTGCCACTTTGCCTGGCGTATGTGGACTATGAGAAAGCCTTTGATTCCGTCGAAATTTGGGCGGTGCTGCAGTCCCTTCAGCGGTGCCAAGTTGACTGTCAGTATATCGAAGTGCTGAAGTGTTTGTACAGTAGGGCTACGATGGCTATCCGAGTACAGAACCAGAGCTCGAAACCTATCCAACTGCAGAGAGGTGTAAGACAGGGTGACGTTATATCCCCGAAACTCTTCACCGCTGCTTTGGAAGACGTTTTCAAGCTACTGGACTGGAAAGGATACGGTATTAACATCAATGGCGAGTACATCACTCACCTTCGATTTGCCGACGATATAGTCCTTATGGCAGAATCGCTGGAGGACTTAAGCACTATGCTCAATGACCTCAATAGTGCCTCCCAACGGATAGGTCTTAAGATGAACATGGACAAAACAAAGATTATGTTTAATGTCCATGTCACACCTATGCCGGTAGTTGTTGGGAGCACTATGCTCGAAGTTGTTGACGAGTATGTTTACCTGGGACAAATATTCCGACTAGGTAAGTCCAACTTCGACCGAGAGGTCAATCGACGGATTCAACTCGGCTGGGCAGCGTTCGGGAAATTACGACATATCTTTTCGTCAGGTATACCTCAATCTCTGAAAACTAAAGTGTACAACCAGTGCGTGTTGCCAGTGATGACTTACGGATCAGAGACGTGGTCCTTCACTGCTGGCCGTATGAGGACGCTCAAGGTCGCTCAGCGAGCTATGGAGAGGGCTATGCTCGGAGTTTCTCTGCGTGATAGACTCAGAAATGAGGATATCCGCAGTAAAACCAGATTGACCGACATAGCCCAACGGATTAGTAAGCTGAAGTGGCAATGGGCCGGCCATATAGCTCGAAGAACCGATAACCGATGGGGAAGAAAGGTTCTCGAGTGGCAGCCTCGTACCGGTAGGCGTAGTGTAGGGCGACCCCCCACTAGATGGAGTGACGACCTGGTAAGATATGCAGGAAGTCGATGGATGCAGGTGGCTCAGGACCGTGCTTTGTGGCATTACTTGGGGGAGGCCTATGTTCAGCAGTGGACTTGTGAAGGGCTGTGATGATGATGATGATGATGATTTACTTGTTTGAAACGGAACGACACAGAAGTGCTTCACAGACAGAAATCCGAATTATTAACTACGTTTCATATTTAAAAATGGAAAGTGAGCTTTTTTTTCTAATCTTGTTTGGCGGCAAATTTAAACTGGCTGTATAAAAAAAAGAAAACTTTGTAAAGTGTGGGTTGGATAATATATGTATTTATAAAACATAAAATAAAAAATGTATGTTTCTGGATACATATTCAAACAAAGATTATGCGGTCTTTAAGATTAAATTAAATAAAGTCTATGCGGTCTTAAGGATGTTTAGGTATTTACAGTAACACCCGGCCGTCTTAAAAAAATATTTGTCCTAACTTATTGTGGCCAATGTTACACAAGATGGGAGGTGAGATGGAATGCGGCAACAGAAACAGGATAATAAGGAGAAGCAAAGCATTCTAAATTATGAATATTCCAAAAAATGATTACATTTATTTATATATTATTTTATAACTTCAGGAGGACGATCCGGAGAAGCAACGCCGTTGGGAGCTAAAGGAACAAAAACGTCAACAGAAACGCAAAACGCCGAAAATGAAACAGTTAAAAGTGAAAGCACTCTGACGGTTTCTCATCTCCGGTTAAATACATTCGCAATGCAATATTATTTACACCTTTTTTTTGTTATTTATCTTAAGTGTTAACGTACTCAAAAGCGGCGAATAAATGATTTACAGTACATTTGTTGTTTTATGAATATGATCTCCTACACACCAACCACAAAACTATAATTAACTTACATTTGTTCATTTCAGATAATTACATCCATAGAATTATAGTATAATCTATGGTAGTATATTGTTAATTTCGACACAATATTTCTGTAAATAGTAATAATAATAATGAATAAAAACATAACGCTAAGTGATCAGCTAGCTAGCAGATCACTCAACGCACAACAGTTTTCAGATTTGCTTAGTTGACAGCTTTAGAATATATAGGGTAGATTTCATCTCTAATTTCCTAGTGTTTTTAATTGTTATAAATTTTGTAAAAAAGAATTTACTTTTAATTTCCTGTTTTACACAATCGAGTGGATCCTCATGGTTTTATAACGTGGCATAGTTATTATCTCTTTTTATTAGGTCTAAATGAAGCTGGTGTTCCAAACAAGTCAGTTTCTGAAAAGGTTTACACACATTTTCCACAAATTGTCAAAAGACCGAAGTGTAAGTTTAACACTTTGACGTGAGTATGTGGACTATGAGAAAGTCATTCTATTAAAATTTTGACAGCACTACAGTCCCATCAGCGAAGCCAACGTGATTGTCAGTATGTCAACACGCTGAAGTGTTTGTATAAGTAGGGCTATGATGGTTTGCTAGGTTGGGATATCCGCAGTATAACCAGAGAGACATAGCGCAACGGATCAGTAAGCTAAAGTTGCAATGGGTTGACCATATATCTCTATAAACCGGAAACCCATGGGAAAGAAAAGTTTTGGAGTGGCAGCCTTGTACCAGTTAAGCGATGTGCCACGGTAGTATATAAAAGCACTTATATAATATTTATTTTCTATTCTTTAGGCTATTTGTACACCTGCATGTGGTTTTATAAGTTAATTTGTACTCCTAGCTGTGGGAAATTTAGCGATTTTTAATGATATAATCAGGTTCATTATATACTGTGAAATCACTGTTTTGTAAGTATTCAATACTCTGAGTGGAGTCACCCTTCTGTCACTTACTATCTGCGTGAAATAATTACCCACAGTCACGAGGCACCCAGGGTAACATAGGTAAGCGCGTTGTAAACAATTGAATGTTAACGTTTTTTGTTATGTTAACGCTGTTTACGTAAAAAGTTTTTTGTAAAATACTTCTAGAAATAGTTTTTGTTTGGTGTTTAGTTGATTTAATTGTAAGATAAAATAGTTGAAAAGGTTTTAAAGTACATAATTTATACATTATATATATTATGTATATTACCTATTGGATCAATTTTAATGCCAAAAAGTCGTTCCTACTATAAATGTTGCGTTGCGTTGATAGATGCTAAATGACCAACAAAAGGATTCAGATATATCATTCTTTAAGTTACCGAAGGATTTTAGTAGGAAGTTATGAAAGGTGAATTTATTTCATTTTTAGGTACTTATAGCAAAAAAAATTAAGTAATTTATCTACAGAAGTAATACATAAGTAATTTATTACAAAACTTAGTGTAAATTTACTTCACTATCCAAGTATTTAATCTATACATGTCTTTTGTAATTAAAGTATTTTAAGTTACAAGAACACAAAATACTGAAATTAAAACCTGTACACTAACAAGATTTTTAACTAAGTAGAATTCAATCACATTTTTGTTAGGAATCGTGTTTGGAGTTAATTTGTTGTTTCTTCCGAGCCAAGCATCGAGATTCCCGACGAATAGCCTTGCAAGTTGCATGCGTTGGGCATCGCGGAACTCACATAGGTCTCATAGCTGAAAATATGGTCAGTCGATCATAGTCAGAATAGGTACATCATCTAAGTAAATTAATTAACATTTCTCAACGTATTTTTTTTACTCTTTCTTGACATCCCTTAGTAACCATGGAAAGACCACCGTGATGTAGGAAGGGGAAAAGATGCAAAGTAATATGGACACTCCCGCGCAGCGATAAAGTTTTATTTAGCTTGCGTGCGCGATTTGTCTAATTAATAATAATTATGTAGCTATTAAACATCACCAAGCAGTCAACATCAAAGGAGTGCAACTTCTGTAGATAGTCCTATTATTGATTCTGTGGTGGAGTGGCATTAGTGGGTGTCCACATTTTTATTGATCTCTATTGACATCTATACAAATAAATAAAATTGATGTGTCGGATTGTTACTTAATACATATAAAAGTATATACAGTGCTTATAACGAAAAATGATTTTAATTTTTTTTGTCTGTTTGTTTTGGCTAATCTCCGAAATGGCTGGACCGATCTTGAAGGGACTTTCTCTGACAGATAGCAGATGTTATAAGAGGTAACTTAGGCTACTTTTAGAAAAAGCAATAAAGATTTTAAAAATAAAATAATTCCATATGGACATTGTCACTGGGACAACTAGTATTTAGCTATATTAAGAGAATGAAGCAACTAATCAATTATTATTATTAGTATAAAAATTACATTATTATTATATTATATTTACATAATAAATAAAAATCATGTGATCATTACATTTATCAATTTTATTATAATATTATTACTATTTTTATTATTGTTACAGTTTGAGATTGGTTTTAAAATGTCTTTACTAAACATATTGTATGTTATTGAGTATAATAAATATTTTGAATATAATGTGTCCTGCTTTGAAGGTTATTTCTAGAATTATGTAAGTACTTTAATGTAATAACATTTTTTTATGGGTAAGTTTAAAAAATGTAGTTTAATATGTATTATGGACTATAAAAATTAAAAGTTATTCTCTATGTCACCAATTGGTCAATGTTAGGTTTTTTCTTCTATACAAACTCAATTTTTATTTGAAATATTTATTTGAAATTTTTACAATTCAAAATAAGAAAAATTGATGTAATTATTATTCTAAGAATTTGCCTGCCTAATAACTTGTACTATTACTATTAAATTTTCTATATATTTATTAAAATGAACAAAGAAAAATAAAATATGTAAACAAAACAAAACTCAACTCTTTCAAACAAAACTTTTTCTAAGTCACAAAAGCTAAAAATAGGAAAACAATATGGGCTAGATGAAAATATTTTAACAAAAAATTTCAATATATTTTATTATGTAATGAGATCTAAACACACAAAAGTGTGGTAAAACAAATTTGGAATAATTAATAAAAAACAAATTTGAAAAAAAAAACAAAAAAGGCTCCAGATTGATGTTAGACAAAATATATATCTATACAAATAAATAAATTTGAAGTGTCTCTTTGTAATATCAAAATAACAGCTTTTTACTAAATTTATTTTCAATGTTTACTTATAACAAAAAAAAACCAATTTTTAAAGTTTTTGTCTAATCTCCGAAATAGCAGGACCGATTTTGACAGGACTTTTCTTTTAGGAAAAAAAATTGGTTCTGTGCAAAAAAATTAAAACCAATGAAATCCAATCGTAATTATTTAATTTAATAATATTTAATAAAATAATAATAATAAAAATAATTTAATTTGATTATTCTACATGGACAAAGTTGCAGGGAACAGCCAATCAAATAATTTAAATAACTATAAAATTTAATGAAATATCTTAATAGCAACTTAGAGAAAATAATATATTTGCTCTTTTTGATCACATAGGTGGCATTTAAGAGGTAAATATTGTGATTTAATATATCTTTGCTTATATAAGAGGACTCTCTAGTGTAGATAAACCCCTAGAGGTTTTCATGCTAGTATTGTTATAGATAATGTAACATAATTATGCTTAATAAATAAAGTAAAAAAAACCATAAACACAATGAAAACTATTACTAATTAACAGGAAAATGTTGTTTTTTACTTACTAATAATTCATATTGCCCATCATTGCAATTTGTTTCGTTTTTCAATTTTGAGCAAACAACATATTGTGATCATGAATCTAAAGATCGTAGATCAATTGAGATTTTACTACTAATCACAAAATCCTTTGGATACATAACAAACTAATTATACCAAGGAGTTAGGAACATTTACATTGATTTTTTCTACTTCTTAAATCTATGGTGTGAATGCATTGAATGTTCAGAAAAAATTCTGAATGCAGATCCGCCCCACAGCCTTGACTTACCGACACAAAATTTTATAGTGCCATTTCACTGGGTTTGGAGATGTTATTAAAGAAATTATGTCATTCATCAACTTGTAGTTTCTGAATCCTTGTTGACACACCGTCCATTTCTGGAGATATCTCAGGGCTTAATGGGGGATCAGTAGACAAGTTGAGATTTTCAAGAGACTGGCAACGCTTTGCTGGACTCTTAGGGTCGAGGGTACTGTTACCACTTGGAGAAGGGTCCAACAAACTATTATGTTCATAGGCGTAATCGATGACTTCACTGATAGCATCGGAATTTTCACTTTTAGTTCTGTGTCTGATAGGCAGCACGTATGGACAAAATCTGTTTTTGTTTGCAGTTCTTTTCATGCAATAGCCTACCGTAACGTTGGAAACATAGCGCGTATTTAGACGCATCACACCAAAATTTGATTTAGATTCTCTTAAATATTCGCGGCGGGCTTCTGTTATGGCACTCAACATTCCCAGGTCGTGTAAGGCTTGATCCAAATTATTCAGATTCATATTATGGCGAGGAACCTGTAAACAAACAGTGTAATTAACTCTTTGAAAATGACAAAGAAAAACAAAAAAGATATAATTCGGGGACCATGTTGTTACATACACTTCTTCGAAACTCATTGCATTTCATTATGAACAGAATCAAGGGAAATTTATCAAATTCGCAAAAACGGTGTGAATATAAACATCACAAAAAAGTCATAATATGTAATGACAAATGACAAAGGTTGCCCTTTAAAACCACGACTTACGGAGTTACCCGTAGATTATTTGGAAATTACCTTTATTATGTTCGGGTAAACCGTAGACAGAGAAACCTATAGACAA